TGTATGTGTACACTTTTGAGAGCAAGCAAGAGAATTTCATTTTTAATGTGTGCTAGTGTGCCCACAGTAAAAAATGACAATAAAGCTTATCTTATCGTATCTTATAGTGCTACCTTGCTTTCTGACATTCCAATCAACCTTGAACTGTGCATTCCAAAGTGTGCACGATTAAGCTTCTACACGATCTGGTGCCTTCCTTATTCCACGTTCCAGATCAGACACATAACATATGTAAGGGTTTAGGCAGCATCCCTGAAAGCCTGACCCTCCTTATTTCATGGACAGAAGAAAAAGGGCTAATGATTGCTGTGCTACAAGAGTGACTTATGGATGACTTTCTTTGAGTTTATTCTGGACAATTGTAAAATAGGAGGGCATGATCCTTTAGTATATTCTGATGGTGACCAAACAGTCAAGCATAAAGAACAAAAACATATTTTATATACCCGCCAAATTCACTTAAATGTGATTCTGGGCAGCATACATCTATCAAAACCAAAAGAATTCAGTTATAAGTAAGACCACACCTGGAATACTGCAGCCAATTTTGGTCACCATATCACAAAAAAGATGTTGAGAGTTTGGAAAAAAAATCAGAGAAGAGCAACTAAGATGATCAAAGGCTTGGAGACTAAAACATACGAAGAACGGCTGCGGGACTTGGGTTTGGCTAGTCTAAAGAAAAGAAGAAATAGGGGAGACATGATAGCAGTGTTCCAGTATTTGAGGGGCTGCCACAAAGAAGGGGGGGTCACGTTATTCTCCAAAGCACCAGAGGGCAGGACAAGAAACAATGGTTGGAAACTGATCAAAGAGAGAAGCAACCTGGAACTAAGGAAAAACTTACAGTGAGGACAACCAGTGGAATAGCTTGCCTCCAGAAATCATGGGCGCTCCATCACTGGAGGTTTTTAAGAGAGACTGGACATTCACCTGTCTGAGATAGTGTAGGTTCTCTTGCTTGAGCAGGGGGCTGGACTAGAAGACCTCCAAGTCCCTTCCAGCTCTATTCTATTCATACAATTAAAAGTACAACAATAATTATGAGCATATCTCAATATACACTACACTTCACAAGGCGGGATTTCCTATCATCCTGGCCCCAAATTATAGGGGGATTGGGAGAAGAACCAAGTTTCTGATGTCTTTCTAAAATGAGAAAGGTCAGGACCTCCTGTATGTTGGAGGGTGGGGAGAGGTACTTTTAGGGGGAAGGAGTTGCAATGGGAGTTTGGAATGGGCAGATAATTGGAGAAAGGCAGTCCCACAAAGAACCCAGTCCTGTACCTTATAGAGCTTTGTAAGGGTCAGCAATCCAAGGCAAATCCACTCAGGAAACAGATATCACAAGTAATGTTAGATCTTTATTGGTTTAGGCTACAATAACAGAAACTTGAAGGAAGGCCTAATGGTTTTTCTCCTTCGTTCCCTCTTATACCAGAGTGTTGATATGAGGGCAGTCTTGAGGGGGGGGTTTTTTCCCCCATGCCTTCCTGTATTTCTAAGCTAAATTCATGTTTACCTAACATTGGTCGCCTGCGTATTCTTTTCAAAGCCGTCTCTGTACACCTCTACAATACCGTAGGCAATATTCAAAGTCATCTGGAAGCCAACCGTCTGGAGCCAGTGCAGCTCATGAAGTAGTGGTATTGTATGGCTATGCTGAGGTTGAGTATGATTGCTTTTTCAGGCTGCCTCCTTCCAGATCTGTTCACTCCCACAATTCTCTGTTATCCCGCTAGGAAGGCATCAAAAACACCGGTTTGGTATTGAATAGATTCAGACAAAGGCAGCCATGTTCACAGGGGGCTAAGAAGCCCAATTTATATTTATAAATTTTTTTTTTAATTTATAAATTTATGTCTGCTGCTGTGTACATCCTGCTCAAGACAGACCAAGCTGGAACTTTCCCAAGAATGCTTAGAGTGGTTCTCTGCAACATTTTCTTCCTTCTCAGAAAGTATGACATCTCTGTGCTTTGTCGCCGCTTCATTATAGCATTTTATTTGTGTGTATGACTGTGTATCATGACTTGCTGTATTTTTGTAGACTTTTGAAATTACCTAAAGTGAAACAGAGTAAGAATCCTGATAAAGTACGATGATCCTGATAACATTCAGTCAAACTATATCCACTGAAAAAAGCCCATGAAAAATCCACAAAAAAAGCTAGTGTTAGTTATTCCAGAGGTGCTACTTTGGGTCTTCCTGAAAGCCTAAAGATTGTAACTAACGGGCTAAAATTCAGAGGCAAACTGGTGCATTCAAGCGGGAAAGCACGATTATAGAGGAAGTTTTGAGTGCCAGTATAGTGTGAAGGTTAGCGGATGGGAAGACACCAAGGAAATTCAAGTCCAAGTCCATCCTGTCAGCTGTAGAAACTGATGAAGCAGCTTGGAGCCAGGTTCTCTCTCTCCAATCAACACATTTCACAGAGTGATTGCTGTGGGAATAAAATTGGAGGACCAAGGCCTATGGATGCCATTTTGAGCTGCCAGATAAAAAATGGGATAGTAATCAACATTTAGAGGTACACAGAAAATAGGTCCACACCTGATCTTTTTTTAATATACAAGGAGAAATAAGAGGGGGAAAAACCAGTGTTGTGTTGAACCAAACTGGAGACTCATCTAATCTAGTGTCTTGTTCCTAACCAAATCCCAACCAGACATGGGTGGACAAGGGTGCAACAGCAGGATTCTGCTGCTCCTATTCTGCAGCAACTGGCACCGAGAAGTTTTGAACCCTGAAAATGCAGATGATATGTAAACACCTTGATTAATAGCCATCAATACAGTTGTCCTTCCTGAATGAACAGAAGAAGGTATTCTTGAGGCTTCCAGAACCCAGTCTAGAAACATACATGATTATAGGTGTACTAGACTGTATACAGTCACACCGCTTTGCACAGTTGCCATCTCCAGACCTTGGTTAACCAAGCAGATGGTTTGATGTATTGCAATGGCTGTTACTACACCTAAAAGTGGGGTATCACTTTGCTTGGCAGAATGGTTTCAAAGGGGTGCTTCACTGAGGGTCCATTCAAAGCCAAGACTTCTGAGGCTTCTCATGGGTCTAACATCATGGCATTGTACACATCATGAGAAGCCAGAGTTAGTTCTTAGTGTAGACAAGCTACAGCACTATAGTTTTGTACTGTTACAATGTATAGATTGCATATGGAATTCATATTCTACCTAGGACTTCACCTCTGCTATGGCTATACTGTACTGTGTGCCTGAAACAGCAATTGCTCTTCTGACCTGAAGCTTTTAACTCCTCGCCTTGTTGACAAATGGAAATATATACCCCCCACACACTTCTCTTTCCATATGTTGTTCCCCCTTATCTTGTCCCTCATCTTCCTATTTATCTAAAGCAGGCCAGAAGCCTAGACTTTCACAAATCCCACGAAGGGATTTAGTAATTCAGCTAGTCATTGATGTTTTTCTTTCCAATAGTTTGTGGCTCTGAAAGGGGAGTTTTTTCCCTCCCTTCAGAGCATGTACTGTAAATCATGATTCTAATTTCAATTATAATTCTTCCGCTTCCTTTCTGTTATCTGTTATTATGCTGGGCAACATTCATAAAACTGTGCATCGGTGTGTGTGGTCATTGCTGTGATACCTGTGTACCCAAAGGCATATCCCCAACAAAATCTCTGAGTCCTGCACCTCTCTCCTTAAATTGTGAAGTCCTTTAACTGCTTCTTGTATCTCTCTGTGTGTTCATATGTTGGGAGATATTTTTCAACAGGATGCCGGTATGGAATGCAGTGTGGACAGAGGTCCATTATTTCACTTTTTCTTTCAAAGTGAAAATGCCCAGCACCTTAAGTAAAAAAAGTGTTTGTGCATGGGTATGCGTGTGTGTCTGAGTTTTGCTTTACAAACAGGTGACCCTTGTCAGCGTCTTCTAGTCTTTTATACTCAGTCTCCTCTTTGTTGCAATGCTCAGAGTAATGGGATGCAGAACATGATCAGTCGCATCTGAAACATGATGAGAGAACTGTTGGTGACCCCTGTGTTGCCTGTCCTCCATTTGACAAGAACCCACAGCAATTTCCTTTCTGAGGCTTATATCCATAACACATCATTAATACTTCCTGAAAGCAGGTCTGAAATATTGATGCTAATTGCTCTTCTGGTTTGCCTAGCAGCACATTAAGCAGGTAGACGTAACAAGCCACTTTTAAAAATAATGAAGCAGGGCTAATGGATAGCCAGCCTAGAGAGGGGCCTTATTACCCAGAATTCTCTGAGCAGGCTTTGAGGGGATTGTTTGCTCAGATTGGGTGTGCTTGGCATGATGGGAGATCAATCAGTCAGAATAGAGCTGGAAGGGACCTTGGAGGTCTTCTAGTCCAACCCCTTGCTCAAGCAGGAGGCCCTGTACCATTTCAGATAGGTGGTTGTCCAGTCTTTTCTTAAAAACCTCCAGTGATGAAATACTTACAACTTCTGAAGGCAAAGCTGTTCCACTGGTTAATTGTCCTCACTATTAGGAAGTTTCTTCTTAATTCCAAGTTGTTTTTCTCCTTGATTAGTTTCCATCCATTGTTTCTTGTCTTGCCTTCTAGTGCTTTGGAAAATAAATTGAGTCCCTCCTCTTTGTGGCATTACTATTTATTATTATGGATCATCGCACAGTCAGCCAGATGTTCAGACTGGATTTGGCATTTTGTCTACCTATCGAGTCCTTACCCAGGACCTGGGATAGGCAGATGTGGATGTTTGATGGTATTACAGATATCATCGCAGGATGGAAGCAGTTGTTGTTGTTGTTGTTATTATTATTATTATTATTATTATATATTATCAAAGATATGGAAGGATAGGATATACATTACGAATAGAGAACTATAGTTTTGCAGATGTTGCCAGACGCCAATGCCCATCATCCCCAGAAGTCCAGCCAAAGACTATAGAGTCTGTTCCTCTGCTGTAAGTAATAAAGGGCTCCCAGCTTTAATGTAATTCTTCCAACTCTCTTTTCTTGCAGGGGGAGCTGCTCAGCCCCTGTCGTTGTGATGGTTCTGTCCGTTGTACCCACCAGCCTTGCTTGATTCGCTGGATCAGTGAGAGGGGCTCCTGGAGCTGTGAGCTGTGCTACTTCAAGTACCAGGTCTTAGCCATTAGCACAAAGAATCCGTTGCAGGTAAGCCTTACTTGGCAAATGAGCTTCAGGAATATTGGCTGGAAGGAGAAATAGACAATTCAAGAGCAGATGATGGTAGACATGGTACCTCTGCCCCGTGGTAGGATTCAAATACGTGAGCAACTGGTTCTCTGTGTGGATGCCGCTTCCAGAAGTCCGTTCTGGGCCTGGGCAACAAAAAATTAGCTACCGGTTCTGCCGAAGTGGTGCGAACTAGCTGGATCCCACCACTGCCTCTGGCCCATGTACTTTACATAAACCTTCTCCTCCTTCTCTTCCTTGTCTTCCTTTTCCTCTTACTCATGTACACACACACACACACACACACACACACACACACACGGTTACCATCACATTCAATTATTGCTCCATCTGTTCCCCTCTGAGTTATGGGGCAGATGAGAAGGTTCCCCAGAAATGTCTGTGTTCTTGGATGCACATCTCCCTTCCCTCTTGTCTGTTTTGTTCCTCCACCCATACACTATCCTTAGCAACCCCAAATGCTGCTGAAGAAACTGCCCAGAGGGAGCAGGTTCTGCTTTGGAGCTGTCATTCACTCCAAATATATCAGCAGAGGCAGTCGAGTGACCTCCACCAGGAGTGTCTCCCTGGAAGCGATCTTGGCAGATCAAGAGATATCTGCCTGTATTCCCTTTTCACTTCTGCAAGTGCAGCATAATCTGGCAGACAACATTTAGGCTGGAAAAGTCTCGTACATAGCCTTCCTTCCTTCCTTCCTTCCTTCCTTCCTTCCTTCCTTCCTTCCTTCCTTCCTTCCTTTCTTCCCTTCTTTCTCTTTCTTTCTTTTTTCTTTCTTTCTTTCCTCCCTTCCTCCCTCCTTTCTTTCTCTCTCTTTCTTACTTTCTTTTTTCTTTCCTTCCTTCCTTCCTTCCTTCCTTCCTTCCTTCCTTCCTTCCTTCCTTCCTTCCTTCCTTCCTTCCTTCCTCTCTCTCTCTCTCTCTCTCTCTCTCCTTCCTTCCTTTTTTCTTTCTCTCTCTCTCTCTCTCTCTCTCTCTCTCTTTCTTTTGTCACAATGTAGCATAACGGTCTCCTTCCTTTTTGGCTGTTCGGTTTTCTCTCTCTCTGCATAGCCTGTCATCTGGTGAATGGAGAAGGAAAATTGGACCAAGTGACAGGCAAAAAAAAAGTCGCGTTGTAGTGACTCTGCCAGTGACAAAAGAAACGAATTGGTCCTGAGTCGTGCACAGGCGGACAGTGTGCTTGGCAACGTCAATCTTTGTCCTTAACTCCAGGCACAAGCTGTTCAGAGAGAAACTGCTTCCTCTCTTTCTAACCTGCTCCTTTCTCATGGAAGGAACTGTAAAAGTTTTTTTTTAAAAAAAAATATATGCTAAGAATTCAGGAGTTTCAGCAGTGGGTTCTAGCGCTGGAAGTGGACTAAAGGAGACCAAGGAACAACTTAATCTAGCAAATATGATGTGTTGATTTATTTAGGTATTTCGCGTGGCTGTCCAACTCACCACCGTGACTCTGAACAACTAACAGAGCATGAAAAACTAAACAACAATATGTGCAAACCCAGATCCATAACACTTAAATCTAATTGTGTCATACCCACAGTGACAAAAGACACAACCTCCCAAATAACCAGATGATCCAGACACACTCTTTGGGATGGATAAGAGTGAAACTTGTGTGACTTCCTTGTCACGTGCCTTCTCTCCCTTTTTATGAAAAGAAGCCACCCTCCAATATTAGACTTGATGCTTTTTAACTTGACAGGGGATTGAGTAGGACAGGGAAGGGTAAAGAACTGGTGGCTCTCAAGATGTGGAGGAAAGTCTTTGTAATCCCAGTGATGGATGCTGGGATGCTTCAGCAATCTCTGGTGGGCCACTGCCTCTCCCACCTTACTACAAAGAGAAGAAACCGGAAGAGAACTTGCAACTAGGATGGGAGGGAAAGTAACATTAGACTTACTCTGATAATCCCAAAGGTGATTTGTATCGCTTCTGGGATGATCTTCAGATTTGGGTCTCTCAGCCCTATTGGGTAGGGATGCCCATCAGATCCACAAGAGTAATTAGTCAGGATCAACTCTTTTGGCTTGTTTTCTCCTTACAGTGGCAGGCAATTTCCCTGACGGTGATTGAAAAAGTGCAAATTGCAGCCATCATCCTGGGTTCCCTCTTCCTCATTGCCAGCATCTCCTGGCTGATTTGGTCGTCACTCAGCCCCTCGGCCAAGTGGCAACGGCAGGACCTGCTCTTCCAGATCTGCTATGGGATGTACGGTTTTATGGATATCGTCTGCATAGGTGAGAACTTCCTTTTCCCACGCCTGCTCCTCTTGCTTGAAAACTGAGGATGCCTCAGGCAGATAGAGACAATTTCTCATGTTTCTCTAATTGTCCTATGAAAAATCAAAGCAAAGAAGTACCAGGACAGATTTCAGCAGATTTGTATTGTGGTCATTGGAGAAATCCAGGTTTCCTGGAGTGTCTTCTAGGAAGAGTCTTAAGCAGTGGTTCTCAACCTGTGGGTCGGGACCCCATTTGGGGTCGAACGACCATTTCACGGGGGTCACCAAACAACGCAGTCCACCATTTCCCCCCCCCCCTTTTCCTTAGCTGTGCTACTCCCTTTTATTCTATTGGCTTTTGAAAGCCAACAGAATAGACTCTCTTGAATACAGTCTACTTTTATTGGCTTTCAAAAGTCAATAGGAATTGTCCAGGCTGTCTCTGCCCTGCTGAGCCCGCCAAAAGTCCCATTCTACAAATGGTGCTGCGCTAGTTGAGTAGTCCTCGACTTACGACCAGTTGAGTAGTCCTCGACTTACGACCGGTTGGGGGTCGCGGCATTAAAAAGGTTGAGAACCACTGGTCTTAAGGGTATAGAGACATGCTGGATGAAACTAGGACAGGCAGTGACAGACATGTTTTTATTGCGGCCTACTTGAGTTTGAGTTTGCAACAATTTGCTGCCATACCTTATTATGTTTTCGTTTTCATTTTCTTTTGTTTTTTAACACTTAGAGTCCTTTGCATGTTTATATAGTTAATGCAAACATACTACACTCTGAACTCAACATCTTGAAAATCACTTTGGTGGTATCAGGGCTTTTCAACTGGTGGTATTTTCTGTTCTCCCTGCACATAATGCCAATATAGCTGGTCCTGTTTCTCATACAGATGGCTAAAATCTCTAATTCATCTCCAGAACATACACATATATCGCTATATCTCAAACACAAGCTCTTGATATATAGATAATTATATCTGAATAATTCTAGAAGAGACAGAGATTGAACCAATGAACTGATTTTCATTGGTTAGTTCCACGGTCCTTTCCCCCTTCTTGAAATATGCCGAACACACTAATAGGCATTATTTTCATAATTTAGATACTGTAAAATGTAGAATTTAGCTGTTTTTCATATAGAATTTACACAGCACCTAAAGTCCATTCTAAAATTCAAATTCACTAGACAGCACCAGTCTCCAACATGTGAAGACAGGATATAGTTGGTGATTGTTTTGTGTGTGAACATTTGCACACTGAAATAAGGGATTTAAATTGCTAAGCTTTCACACTGTGTCCAAAGCCGCTGCCTTTTATTTTAGGACTTACATATTAATTCTGAGGCTGCTTTTGCTCTTTCTAGGATCAAGATCAGCTTTGCTTAGAATAAGGAGTGCCATTTAGTTTGAAAAATACATTCCCGACTTTCAGAGAAAGCTGAAGGAACTTAGGTGCTTAGGAGAAATTCAATTTTTAAAAATGTAGAAAAATTACCCCAGCTGGGTGTCAGCACCTAGACAATCTTAGCAGATACCAAAAGAAGAGAATATTGATAGCTCAGGCTTTAAATGTGGGGTCCTTGGTCCTTTCTGAGTTCGGTTGTTCTCTACTTTGTTTCATTACCGAAGCAGGTAATATCATTCTTTGGTAATGAAACATCTGCAAGAAAACAGTCAAGCTTAGAGAGCGCCAAGGACTCCCATAATCTTAGCAGAGCTCAAAAAAGCAAGTAGGCTTGAACTTGGCTAGCGCCTGGCTGGAAGACTACCAGGAAACCTCTGAATTATAGGCTAAGCTGTAAAATTAAAAACAAAAGTCCTTTAAAAAGACAACAGTCAAATATTGTTGTCAAAGAAACTACATGGATATATCTGCGAATTCAGCAGAGTTCAGCTTGAGTTGGAGACTTTATCTTTTACAGCAGTGGTTCTCAACCTTTTTAATGCTGCGACCCCCAACCGGTCGTAAGTCGAGGACTACTCAACCGGTCGTAAGTCAAGGACTACACAACTGGTGCAGCACCGTTTGCAGAATGGGACTTTTGGTGGGCTCAGCAGGGCAGAGACAGCCTGGACAATTCCTATTGGCTTTTGAAAGCCAATAGAATTAGACTCTATTCAAGAGAGTCTATTCTATTGGCTTTCAAAAGCCAATAGAATAAAAGGGAGTAGCACAGCTAAGGAAAAGGGGAAAAAAATGGCGGACTGCGTTGTTTGACGATCCCCATGAAATGGTCGTTCGACCCCAAATGGAGTCCCGACCCACAGGTTGAGAACCACTCTGTTTTATAGGAATATTTAAGGAAGACATCTAACAGTAATTAAAGGAGCCCAGCATTGTTCAGGGTGAAGCGTGGGGGCTGAAAAAAAAAAAGAAAGAAAAAAAGATGTTGCTACTTTAAAGGACCCAGAGGACTCTTAAAATGGTGGCATATATTATTTTTAGAGTAAGCGATAGCCAAAAGATCTTTTAAAGGGTATCAGAGGGAAACTGTGCTTGTAAGTGGTCATAAGCATTTCTTCTTGTGACGCATGCTCTTTCCTAATATTAACTGCATGACGCTACATCGTGCAGCTTAGTCATAGCCCTAGAATTTGCAAAATATTTCTGTTGAGGCCTTTGGAGCTGAACACACCGCTCATTGCTAGAGAAAGGAGAAACCGTCTGTCATCTAGGCTGGCATGTCATCATTGTTTAGTTTACAAATCAACCCCGCCTTTCTCTGCTACCCACTCTCATCCATGGGACAACCTTCTGGTTCCTTCTTCCCCCTCACTTCTGCTTTACCCTTACGTGCCAAATACTCCATAATGACAGACATAAGTGAGCCAATCCCCTCCCTTGTAATCCCTAGCACAGTGATGGCGAACCTCTTAGAGAACGAATGCCCCAAAACTGGCCCACCCCCGCCCCATTCTGCCCCCCGTTCCACCCCGCACTCCGCTCACCCGCAGGGCCACTCACCACAGATTGCCCAGGCAGCCTTACAGCGCCATGGCGGCCACGCCCTCCGCCCACACCCTGCAGCATCATCTGCATGTCATGGGGCGCGAGGGCGGAGTCTTGCCCCTGCTGCCCAGCTGCCATGTGCTTGGCTGCACTGCTCCGTGTGGGTCACGCTTGGGGGAGCCTCTCTGGGCAGGCTGCTGGTGAGGGGGTTGTGGGGGGAGGCGGGGCTGGGGCAACAGCGCATGTGCCCATAGAGAGGGTTCTGAGTGCCACCTCTGGCACGCGTGCCATAGGTTCGCCACCACTGCCCTAGCAGATTGAAAGGGCATAATTCCCACTCCGGTACTTTCAAGCAGGCAAAATGAATAGCATTATGGTGGAGGGAAGCGGCTTGAATATTTCAAGACCACATGGGCAACAACAACAACAACAATAATAATAATCTGGTTCATTGATATTGCAATACCAGGCGATGCACAAATTGAAGCGAAACAACTAGAAAAAATAACGAAATACCGTGATCTGCAAATTGAAGTTGAGCGATTGTGGAGGAAGAAGTCAATGGGTATACCAATAATAATACAGTAGGAGCCCTTGGAGCAATACCCAAAGGGCTACCTAGATGAATGGAAATTTCGAACTTATCAGACCTGAATATTCTGGCTTTGCAACAAACCACCTTACTTGGAACTGCCTATATACTCAGACGTTACCTTAACAGCTCTTAGGTCCTTGGATAGGATTTGAATTGTTAAGTTTTTACCAGTCCCAGACTATGAATTGAATTGGAGACTAAATCTTAAATAATAATAATAATAATGCATCATCGCACAGTCAGCTGGATGTTCAGACTGGATTTGGCATTTTGTCTACTTATCGAGTCCTTACCCAGGACCTGGGATAGGCAGATGTGGATGTTTGATGGTATTACAGATATCGTCGCAGGATGGAAGCAGTTCCTAGTAAGGCCGCCTTTTGCAATTGACTAATAGCGAATTTGTCAATGCCAATGGTGTTCAAGTGGTGCTCCAGTTGTTTTGGGATTGCACCCAAGGAGCCTATTACTATTGGTACTACCCTTGCTTGCTTTTGCCACAGTCTTTCTATTTCTATTTGTAGGTCTTTGTATTTTGTTATCTTCTCCAGTTCTTTCTCTTCTATTCTGCTATCTCCAGGCACTGCCACGTCCACTATCCAGACTTTTTTGTCTTTCTTATCGACAATTGTTAAGTCTGGGGTGTTATGTTGCAGGTGCTTGTCTGTTTGAATTCTGAAGTCCCAGAGCAGTTTAATTTTATCATTTTCTATGACTTTCTCTATTTTATGATCCCACCAGTTTTTGCTTACAGGCAAATGATATTTTTTGCAGATCTTCCAATGCACCATTGTTGCTACTTTGTCATGCCGCTGCTTGTAATCAGTCTGTGCAATCTTCTTGCAACAGCTTACCAGGTGGTCCACTGTTTCTTCAGCTTCTTTGCATAGGCGGCACTTACTGTCTGTTGCTGTCTTCTCAATTTTGACTTTATATGCATTTGTCCTTAAGGCTTGGTCTTGTGCAGCCAGAATTAGTCCCTCGGTCTCTTTCTTCAATTTTCCTGCTCTTAGCCATTGCCAGGTCTTGTTATTATCTGCTTTCCCAGCTATTTTTTTTATGTATTGGCCATGTAGTGCTTTGTCTTCCCATGCCTCTATTCTGTTCTTCATTTGGTCTTTCTTGTAGGCCAGTTTGGTCTCTCCAGTAGTCAGTAAGCCTTCCTGATATAATAATTTCAGTGCATCTTCATCATTGTTCTTCAGATATTCTTCCAAATCCATTTTTTCTTCTTCAACCATCTGATGTACTTGTAGCATTCCACGCCCACCTATTTGCCTTGGTAGATAAAGTCTGTCAATGTCACTGCGTGGATGAAGGGCATGATTCATTGTCATTATTTTTCTGGTCTTCCTATCCATTGCTTTTAGTTCTGCTTGAGTCCAGTCCACTATTCCAGCTGTGTACCTAATGACTGGAATTGCCCAGGTGTTGATTGCCTTTATGGTATTTCCTCCATTGAGTTTGGAC